AGTTATTATCAGGAGACAATAAGAGTTACTATATTTGTTTCTAATTCATGCTGCTGAGCAACAGAGCAGGCAAGCACAGAAGAACCACTCCAAAGACTTCTAGATAATAGAAGTGCAGTGCCCAGGTTAGTGATACCCTAGGATGGGCGACTGATGGTTAAACAGTGACATAGTAAAAATCTCTTTCAAGAAGAATGACAGCAACAGTTGGGAAGAGAATTTTCAACACGTATTTAGATGCCTAACACTAGGTTGCCTGAAAATAAGTAGGAGACTCATCAAGGAGACTCATTATCTTTGACGCAAAATGCCTAGGTCTCACTGATGCCTCTTCGCAAATCTTTGATTCAACTACAGGACTAAAACTTAGCTTCCTGGATGACAGCTGCCTGTAAAATGTTTTTTTAAAAGCCACTACCCATTAACTTTAGCTGGTTAGTGAAGGTTAGCAATGGTGTGTGGTGGTTTTTTTTGTTTGTTTTGTTTTTTAAAAGAGTACTACATGCAGGATAGTGAAACTATTCATTAGGCTATTCTGTAGTTATTTACCTATAATGTGTGCAGTGAAAAGCGTGACTGGTTACACTAGAGTACTGACAACACCATGAGATTAAAGTGTTTACTTGTATGAAGTAGCTTCATACTTACACAGTTTGACTTGCTTGTCTGATAGGTTACTTAAGTCTTCAAGCATACAGTTTCAAGTTTAATTTACTACTAGTAAAATGACACTCAATTGCAGGGCAATTATTGAATTCCTAGGTTGCTTAAAGTAATCATCCCAGGCCACTTGCAGTATGTGTGGAAGTTATAGTCACTCATGTCTTACAGCTTAATTAGGAAAAAAAAAAAAAAATCACCACAGTAACTTCAATCCTAAAGATTGCTGATTTTGCTATAAACAAACTATTTTAACCATCAGTTTTAAAATTCTACACACAAGAATACTTCAAATCCACAAAGGAATATTATTTCCCCTTGTACTCTGTCTCTGTTGGGCAGAGGGTTCATACGAATCACTGGACATTGACTTAAACTCTGAATACTGACCTAGATTTGAGTCTTAAATTCTGGATATGAACGAGTTTTAAAATGTCACATACCTGTCCTTTAGCAACAATATTGCAAAAGAATAAATGAGTTCTGGAAGATACTCCCAATTTTTTCTCAAGTGACTTCAACGAAACTTCCAACTGTGTTGTAAAGCGAAGAATGTTGATGAGCTTCTTTAACAGGTGTAACTTCGTATCTTTTTTTTTTTTAAAGCTCAGCTTAATTTAAGGAAAAGAAGTCAGAATTTTAGTTTATCATGAATTAGCAGCAGAGAATACAAATGAGCTCAGCCCTTATATTGTATATAATTCATGACTTCACACACAAAAATACAGCTTTTAGTATTAATATATGTGACTATGTTTCTAATGAATTTGGTTTAATCCACACAGCTTGTAAAACGAAGTGCAGGAAGCTTAACCTTTGGTTTCTTTCTACATCAAGAAATTTCTGCAAAACAACTAATTTTTGTACACAAGTTTTATACTGCAAGCATTACTTCCATGGTGAAGCAGACATCAGAATTGGGCCCTAATGTTTCCTCCCTCCCCTTCTTTACCAAATTACGAAGTATATGCTGCCATTACTCTCTTCACAAATGAAAAGCTCGAGTCTTGTTCATTGTTGTACACTGGATGACAGAAAAGCAAAGCGGACCAGCAAGAGGCAGTGAGACCTAACAGTGAAGGCCACACACAGTTCTGTTAAGTAATATCTTAGCAAAATTTCATAAAATGAGACACATAGACCACAAAATAGCAAAATAACATTCAGTAAGCCTTGGGTTCTCTTCTCAAAAGGAAGAGAATAATAGAACTGGTTTATGTTAACAGAATATGGCTGAAGATAGGCATAGCCTCTACAAACAAACACTGAGAATTTAACATCTCTCCAAAATTTTAGCATTTTGCTCTGGAACATTGCTATATTTATTTCAGAGTGATTCTACTTCCCTCTGCAGTATTAAATAATGAGCTTTTTGAACAGCCAGTTGTTTAGCTGCTGCTCTCATGTGCAACTTGGTATTTGGATTTGGCTAAAGAGAGTGATGTTACACTGACTCAAATCAACTTTTGTTTAGAAAAAAATTACATTCGTGGCTGATGTGCTAATGCTTTCTTGGTTGAGTTTCCTTTTTACAGTGAAAGGGGGATCAGGAAACAGCCCTTGAGTTTTTCTGATAAGGGAGAGATAGATACGATACTCTTCAAGGAATTGTAGATGAGTAACACTGTAGTTGCAGAGATAAAAGATCGCCAATGACAGATTATTTCAGCATCTCCAGAGCTTTTACATTCTGAAGTCTCCTAATGGAGCATGAAGCACAGCTAAATTGCATACACATATGCCTTACTATTAGAAGCAAACAAGTCAAAAATGAATTGCTTCTGCGGCTTAACCATTCAGAGACTCAGGTTGGTCTGTACCAGTTGTAGCAGTTGCATAACAACACAACATTGGTAGAGCTGGTGCAGTCTGCGCTTTCCCAGTGTAATTCCACCTTTGCAGAGAGCTTTTGACAAGATATCCCACCTTACCATCCCTTGCCCAGCAATGCTCTGCCAGCAGCGGATTAGACGGTAGACCTAGTCTTCTCTTTTCCTAATAATAGTATCCATCACAACCATTTCCTGTGAAGCTCTCAGTAGACAACCAGTCATGAGATTTGAAAGCCACTCAAATGCAACAAAAAGCACAAAGTCAGCTTTCCTTCCCTTTATCTCATTTCTTGTGCAGTATGGCTCAAGGGTGCTTTAATGCATACCCATTAAAAAGACTCCTTGTGCATGGTCCTAATATTGCTAGAACCAAATTTGAAATTAGATAAATAAAGATCAAAGTTTTCCTGTCTAAAATTAATTCTATTTAAGGGAACTCAGCCTGCACAGTGGCATTTTGTGTAATCTAGGTCAAGAGTTAAGGTTAACAACTAACATAAAATGCTTTCAAATTAAGTAAAGCATCATTTTTTATAATGAACTTCAGAATATTACTGGGGCTATAGTCTAATGCTGCAACATACTAGAGGAAGTCTAGACTGCAATCAGTTCAGCTAATAAATTTTTATGTGGTCCTTCTGCCCAAATTGCTACTGATACCTAGGCTTGTTCAGGTACACGTACATTAGCTGCAACAGTGACTGCCGTGTAAACTCACCCTCAGCATATGACAAAAAAAAAAAAAAGGTAGGCTCTTAACTCCAGCAATGCCAAATTCTCATCCCATATCCTCAGCAGTGCTGATGATACCTAACTGTCAGAATTAATTTACAGTTTGGCCCACTCTGGAATGGTCAGAATATTGGTTAATTCATTTTGAGACAAAGTAGAAGTCACAGAAAACTAGAAATGAACAAAACTCCATGCAAAAGCTAATAAGGGAAGAAAAAAAATTGCTGGCGTTCAATAGCAGACACCTTGTATACGCATTTACAAAGATTAAGTTATTACATGAAGCAAAAGATGGAAAAAGTGACCAAAGTTATACTTGTGGATTAGTCAATCTCATATATAAATATAACATTTAAAATCACTTCAAGTATTCCGTATGACAACCAGGAAGAGGTACAATAAGAGACTGGGAAGTAGGTAAAAAGTTTTCAGATTCACCTACTTGATCTGAAATCAATGTTAGGAGAGAGAATTAGGAAACAGATTGCAATGAGAAAATAGTCTTCAATCTTTGAGAATCAGAGAGCACTCAATGTTATGAGCAGACCAATAATGACAATCTGCTCATTTTACTATTGATTTAAATTAACACACATGGAAATTGATGAGAAATCTTAAATTTCATTCAGGTTAAATTAAGTATCAAATCAGCAAAGAACATTCCAAACTTGATCAACGCTTTTCCACTACCTTCTGTCAACTTGGTATCAGATCTAGGAAGCAGAGTAAGGCAAGCATAAACTCAGAAATCACTTTTATGTAGCAATGTTGTTTCACTGTGATACTATCCCATATAGCAAAAAAACTACACAATGCCTTTCCTTTTGAGTTTCAGACTTGCAAAGGAATTATCAGTTAGATGTGGTGACCTTCCTCCTACGTGAAGATGAAAAATTTTAAAAATCTCTTTTGAGTAAAACTGCTTCTAGAAGTTGTCCTTCAGTAGAAAGGATATTATCATTCCTCAGAGATGTAGGAATTTGACTGGCAGAAGTGAACAAACAAGCTATAGCAATCTCTTAAAATATTTCACATTCCTCTGTAGCTGGTTAGGCAAAGACTAAAGTAGTCTCAAAAATCCCTCATGTTAATTTGAATAAACATTTGTTATTAATTCAGGCTTTTACCTTTGAAAAAAATTGTTTGATATATATCTTGCTTTGAATCAAATCTTGAAATAAATATTACACATGGAAAACACAATATTGAAGTCTGGAGTCCTACAAAGACAACACTGAAAGTGGCCAAGCCTGCTGGTATTGTGCAGACCTCCAAAAGATGAATGAGATCAGGATTTTTTTTAAAAAACAAACAAACAAAAAATCCCCCCAAACAAAACCAAACAAAAAACCCCCAAACAGACAAACACACCATGTCTCAAATGAAAATGTTATTTCTGTACTACAATATATAATTTGTTCTGGTCAATGGTATGTCTCCAGTTTCAGAGAAGTCATGATACAATATCCTGAAGCCAGGTATCCAAAAATTTCTTCACTTTGCCATGATACTGTAGACCTTTTACAATTACCTTAGTTCCTGCAGCTGGAATGCTATAATAGAAAGAAAGTAGGTGCTCTGAAATACTTTCGTGTTCTTGTGTAACAGAAATTGGTAGGAAACAACTAGTCCAGATTAAAAAGTTGTGGGGTTTTGTTGTTGTTTTGTTTGTTTGTTTTCCTCCAGTTTAAATATGCCGAGCTTCTGATGTTTACTCTAAAAGCTACCCACATTCTCTTTCATCAGTGGGTGTCTTCTTGCAGACCAGATGGCCTCTCAGGCTTCAAGAAGTATCTGCGCTCACAAAGAAAAAACAACAAAGAATTTGGTTGCATTTGCTTCACTGTTTATCACAGTCTGCAGGTTGACTTTAGTCAGAATGTTCTTCCTCTACCTCTTTTACCTTGCAAACTTCAACTTCAGATTGCAAAGATGACTGAGGAATGCAGGTGAATGTTCGAATACTGTGTGGATCAACTGGTGGCACCAGTGTAAGCGACTCTACACTTAGTGCATCTGTATTGTCATCTGTTATTAATGATATTGTGGGCTGCTGTGCAGGAATCAGGCTAGGAGACAGGTTTGCTGTTTCTGTGTCACTGTTTTTTACAGCACTCTTGCTAGACCTTGAGACAGCTGAAAGAGTTTCATCAGTCAACATCGTCTGACCAGAAATGGTCATCTGAGGCTGCTCTGGAGCTGAAGTGTCATCTAATAAAAGAAAACACCAAGAATCAATCAATATTCAACTTAGTATGTACATTAAGCCTAACAGTATACTATTTTTTATGAATATTTAAGAATAACTGGGTGGAAAATGCAGTTCTGTGAAGCACTATGCTTACACATTCACTTTTTAGAAATTAGATATAAAAAAATATTATCAAAACAAAATACAAAATGCCAGCAGGAAACTGTTCAAATTAGGAAGTAGAAAATTTTACATATTTAGTATTAGAATATGCAGCAATATCAGAAATATTCCTAGGGAGAGGAAATTGAGGGAGAGAATAAGAAAGCCTCTCTAGTATTTAGTATAGACTAAAATGGATAGCTCCCCCGTACCAGGAAGCTCTTTAGGAATAAAAACAAACCCAAACCACCCACCCAAAACCCTGTATAACTAGTTTACTCAAGAGGTGGCTTGTTTCTTACAAAAATTTGGAAGTCATTCTCTCCTTTCATTCAGATTCACATTTCATTCCAGATTCACATTTAAGTGACACCTCAACCACAGAAAGCAGAACTATGGAAGAACAGGAAGGAGAATAATGTGCTTACTGTAACTGCAAAATAGGCCTGTTTTTACACAGGCTTGTGGATATGATTTTTTTGTGCTCCTAAGCATGGAGCATACAACACGGATAAAATTAGGAATAAGCATTACATACCACAGAAAACTGATATGCTACTACACCTTCCCACACAATTAAAAAAAAAAACCCCAAACAACAAACCATTTAACAGCTATTTGTATTATCCTTTCCCCCCTTAAAATCCTAGCTAACTATCAAGTAAACTGCTCGTTTGGCTCAGATGGATAGTGAATGGAGGGGATGAGGCGATACAGCCTTGTATGAGCAAGTATGCCCAGAAAAGTCAGAGGTTTTTTTCTTTTCAGACTACAGTAATAGATGTCACTAAAGTAACAGGTATCCAGCTTCAAGACAGACCATTTTTAGAGCTCCTGTCAGAAACAGCATGTGTTCAAGTGTACAGGCATCTGCAGAAAAGTCTACAAGGCAATGTAGTGAATACAGAAGCTAAGAATCAGGTTCTGTTTTTAATACACAGTGACCTTAAAAATATTTCAGCTTCAATATGATTCCAATTAATCCTGTAAAAAAAAACAGAAAGCATGAACATAAGGCGAAAAAAAAGAAAGAAAAACAAAGCTGAGAATGGAATGGATATCAGTAAGGTATCAGTGGGATAACGGTAAGATTATTGGGTTTTTTACCTTTCTGGTAAGGTAACCCCAAACAATGGTGTATTCTCACTTCAGAAAACCACACAATTTTACTTTTTGCTAAATCAGTGTCTAAAGCTTCTTGCTTCAATAACACCAAAATTTATAGATTGTAAAAAGTCTCCTTTTAAATAAAAGGGACATCACTGATTATTTTTGAAAAATAAGGACAGATTCAAAGTAATTCTGCAGATTCTTCTTTTTAGCTGTCAAGAAGCTTCAGTGAGAATGTAGTGATTGATAAACAGAGGAAGTGATGCAAGACTTGCATGGAAAATGAACTGCTAAAAACATTGAAATACAGCCTCATTTCTCTGAATTCTAAGATAAATACTAACATTTAAGTATGCACAAAACAGTGAGTCTCTTTGCAGTGATTTTACTTTCTGAATGTATAAAAATATTAAAAGAATATCCAACTTCCTTTGCCCAGATTACTTTTTATCTTAACTATAGTATGAATCTTCACCAAAATTCAGGATTCAGAAACTTGAGACATTCTGGTAAATAAGGTATTATCAATCAGTGGCATTCTGCTCAGGAAATGTTATATACAGCACATTTCTATTGCAGTTCTGCTATTTCACTTCTGATTCTGCAATTCATTTCTTAAATCATTCCTCCCCGTCTCCCAACAAAATATTAATCTATTTTCTCAATATTTTAATTTACTGAAATCATGACAGACATACATATTATTTTGTCATGCTGTATTGTCCCCAAGTCCTTCCACATAGGATCTAAATTAAGGCTAAAGTGACTCCCTTCTTAATGCCACAAAGGAAAAAAAAAGGATTTGAAAAGAGTCTCCATTACAAAAAAAAAAGAAGTATCGGGAGTCAACAAGTCCAAATTTTCTATCCAAAAGTCTGAAGAAACATTCATAAAAAGATAAAAATATCAAAAAATGTAAGCAGAACATACTCTGTCCATACTCTGTATTTTAGCTGCAGTATTTATAGAGAATACAACATTAGAGCTCTCCTATGCTTCCCTCATGCTTTTATTTACCATTGATGAAACTAAGTCTCTCTCCTTTCAATATGTCATTAGTCACTGTCACAGCTTCACTTCTGTTACCGTATTTAAGGGTAGCAGTGACAGATTTCTGTAACCCAGCATGGCATTACTGCCAAAATGACTGGGTATCTGCAAATTGCCACTAGTCCTTGCAGGGGCAGAAAGCAAATACCAGCACACAGAGGGGCAGGGGAGGGAGCATTTTTAACACGGTCTAGAAAAGGTCAACAGCTCTCACTATTGTTTTGCAATATATTATCCCTTCTGGACTAATACTTAACTAAAAATCTTGCTCTTCAGTCACAGCTATGAACTACGGCTGCGAGAGCAGTACTTACATCTTTGAGATCAAGTTCTCAAATCCATGGGCTACTTGAGGCGTGTATTTCGCTTGAAACTGCAACTATAAGCTTGTGCTGTAAGTTTTTAAGCATGATCATCTCCCACATCTTTTGGAGACAAGGATATAGGAAAACAATCCTAGACTACACATGAAGGAAACTAAATAGAAAATAGAGAGATCCAGCATCTTAGCATGAAAATTTGGTATGCAAGAGGCATTATAATGAAAAATCAGACCACCCTCTTGATGTAAAAAGTTTTCATATATAACACCTCCCAGTGAATTGCATACACGGCTTCAGGACAATAATTACTAATAAGAAAATCTTTGAGGCTCAAAATTTCAAAGCCTTTTGAAGTCACACTCAATTCAGGGAAGGATCCAAGTAGATAAATATATATTTATGTATGATCTGAGTTCTTAAAGTCTCTGAAACTGGAATAAACAATTGGCAAAAAGATGCACCCTAGCTGAAACAAAAAGCTCAAGGCATTATTACAAGAATGTCTGTTTCTAAAACCCAGATAGGTACCAAGCTCTTGATTCAAAACAGTTTCAAGGCACAAAGTATGTTTAGAGATTAAGCTCTCTACCCATTATCTGGAACATGTGTCTATACATATTGCATATAAAAATACTAACTGGCTTTCAAAAAATCTCAAACTCCTAACACTTGGCTCCAGTTTGACTTTTGGATAGAAAGAGCAAAAATAGTTGTCGTTTTTACCTGAATAAAATTACTAGCCACTAAGATATGCTCTACTCTTAAATATAAAAAAAGTTATCATCTAATATTGGAAAACAGCATTTCTATTGACCTCTCCCCAACCCCTCTGTATTTAAACAAGACTGTTCTGGCAAAAAATATAAGCCAGATCTGCAACAAAATCAGGGAGAGTGCAGTCGGGTTCTTAAAACAGTTGTGATGTTAACATTTAGTTCTAACAAACACTCTCCCACATACACCCAAGTTTAAGTACCAAACAATGTTTGAAAAGAGGGTGTCATTTTGCAAGTTTTTGGGTATTATTATCTCTCTCTGGTTGCAGTGGCTTCAGCAACCTTAGATGTTTTTCAGCACTTCTATAATGCTACCAAGATTATCATTACAGCAAAAAAATCCAAATGGAATCACTGAATTTCTGTTATATTATGTTAAAGACTATTATTTGAAGATAGAAGAGAACAGGAAAAGGAAAGAATGAATATCATCTATAGAGAAGGATCCTAAGCTGTACAGCAACATACTATGACAGGATAACAAAAATATAAATAACAGGACATTAAGTGAAAAGATGCAAAGTAAATCTATAAAGATGAAAAAGGGTGTTTATATAATATTAACAATAGAGTATCATCATGCCATGATAGTAAAATAATAAATTAGATACAAGTTAAAACAGGTTATATAAATAAGAAGGTAGTCTGAAGTGGATTTCCATCTTTTTTGCATCTGCTTTCCCTCCTCACCTCCTCAGGCAGTTAAACAGTCCATAAAGCCATCCACCTGAGCTTGATGATCATAGAAATATTAAGCTTGTGCCATGACAGTCCAAGGACAGTCTTATGCTGAATTCTTGTCCATTTTACCCGAGTTATAAATAGATTTCTTGCTGCTAGCCAAGTACCTGCATTACTGTCCATTCAGGAGCCTGTGCTTACTAAAGTCCACTACAGCCATGGCTGCCCCTGTGCAAATGAAGACATAGCTGCTTTGAAGCTGGAGGCTTGATAGCAGAATTCTCATCGTTGGCAAGAGAGCCAAGAAACACGGGAGAAACTGCAGATAAGGCTTTCAGAAACAGCTAGTTATTGCTTTACAATTCTCCCCCCAAAAACAGTAGAGACAAATATTTATGATGCTTTTTTCAGTTTCCTACCTCACAGTCATTGCTGTCAGCATGGAAACCAAGTATGTTCTATTAACTGTTATGGGCTTTGGAAAGCTTATGGAGGAACCTGCCTGAATTGATATTGCGTGAGTTTCTGTTGCAGCTGCTGCTTGAAGACCTAAACCCAGTGTCCACCGTGACTGTCAGCCTCCGACAGACTAAACACCCGCCGACGTCCTTTCCTGCCAGACCTTACTAGAGGAAAACACAGCGATATATCATACAAAGGCTTTAACAATGAAACAAGGAAGGGAAACTGGAATGAAGACAAAGGATAAATGTTAGAGTAGCAACAAGAGTAAGTGACAAGGACACATCCATAACTGCTGGTATCTTGGACACAATTTGACACCACACCAAGGGTCATACAAGTTTGGGAAATACTTCTGAAGCTGGAAGTATTAATTCTTTACAAATGAAGCAGTTGAACTGAATTTAGGTTTTTGGCTAGCTATTTGGAAATGTTCATAATACAGTTTGGGCTATG